AGTGGTATCGTCATGTACCTCACCTAAGCTGCTCTATAATGCCTTAATAAATAATGCGACAGGAATATGATAAAATTTCGAACAAGTTTTTCGCGTGATTATTTGAAACGAGAACTCTGTCTGTGTATCTATTAGAATGGGTAATATTTCGATTTCAAGACCTATCTTGAGTAAATTATATCAGTCTGATAACCCCATTGGAAGAAGCAAACAATATGAAATTTCTCTAGAAAAAGAAGTCTCATAACAAGACATATGATGCCTAAAGCAATAAAAGAGAGAAAGATCTGTCGATGAATGTCTGAGATATCAGAAATTTTCAACTCTTGCACATATGAAAATTTTCTACGTGCAAACGCGTCGAAAATGCGTTATAACTACGTTTGAAACACTAAGACGAACACACATTCAATGCAGCGAAACTGGAACATGGGACGCTTCTTGCCATATCTACAAGACGCATCTAGACGCGTATATATTTCTGTGTTTTTAGAAAAAAAATATTCCTTTCCTGCGATTTCGTGCTGTGTCACCATTAAGTTCACATAATATGCAGCTTTTTAATTATGAAATCACTGAGAGTAGAACAGCAGACAGTTGATTACAGCCCACAGGAAGCAACTGAATCAAAACCGTGGTTAATTACGATTGTTTCGTCGTGACTGCAGTTTCTGCTTAATGGATCGCGATATCATAAAAAAGATGTGAGGTAATCACGATTACACACGCCACAAATATGCTTAAGTATGTGGTACTTTCACCGCCAAAACCTGTGGTTTCAAAAATATCTGATGCTGTAGGATTGAGTCACAGGATTTAAAGTTGCAACTTTTCTTGATGTTTATACTACGATAGCTTTTTCTGCATCATACTTTCGCATAATCCTGCACCACAGTTTTGTTAAGTGCCATCACGGTTTGATAAAATAGCGTTTCTTTAACAAAAAAGCTTTCTCACAAAACCTGCAACGAGGTTATCTTTCATGATAAGAAACTGTGGCTCATATGATAAAAACCTTGGCGACTAGTCAGGTAATTACGATGATCTAATTGAATGAAAACACGACATTGAGATTGATATAAGTGAATATTTAAAGCGTCAAATAGAGGAAAATCAACACATATTTAGAAGCTTTAGAAATTGTACTATGTATGATAGTTGATCCGAGATGTGTAAAAACTAATGAAAATCAATATTTATCTTGGCGTCTTTTACAGTAAGTTCTAAAGTTATCATAATACCTAAAACCTTCGTTTCTTAATACTGCAAGAAACCGTGGTTCCGGTTATATCAAATATTGATAGAGTAATGTACGTCCAACTAGTGAGCAGTCATCCTATTCCGCAAAGTTACACATTCCTGCATCGCATAAGACCATAAAACTCATCATCATTCAATTCCGGAATTCCTGACATCCAATTCCTACACATGCCATCGAATTTTACGCAATTCTTCCCAATTCCTGCATAGGCTAATGTATTCATGTTCAACTGCACATTGTTATAGAAATAAGAACGCAATTCCGTTTTAGAATTTCAGAATTGCATGGATATCCAATGATCGCGAATACCTACCAATTCCTGCATAGGTTGATGTATCCATGTTCAACTAAAACTTGCTACGGAAATACAGATGCAATTCCGGTTCAGAACGCCGGAATTGCATAGCTATCGACTGACCAGGAATTCCTGCATTCTCCTAGTGATTCCGGAATTACAAATATCTCATGGATGGCTAAGTGATCATTTATCGAGCCTCAAGAAATGGAAAGGGAAATTCCGGAATTCCTGCACATGCGGAATCACTGGGAAATGCAGGAATTCCTGGTCATTCCTGCATATTCCGGAATTACAAATATATCATGGATGGCTAAGTGATCATGTATCGAGCTTGAAGAAATGCAAAGCGGAATTCCGGAATGCGTGCGCATCCGGAATCACTAGGAAATGCAGGAATTCCTGGTCATTCCTTCATATTCCGGAATTACAAATATCTCATGGATGGCTAAGTGATCATTTATCGAGCATCAAGAAATGGAAAGGGGAATTCTGGAATTCCTGCACATGCGGAATCTGTGGGAAATGCAGGAATTCCTGGTCATTCGTGCATATTCGGAAATTACCAATATATCATCGATGGCTAAATGATCATTTATCGGGCTTGAATAAATGCGAAGCGGAAATCCGAAATTTGTGCACATCCGGAATCACTAGGAATTCCTGTATTTTCTAGTGATTCTGGATGTGCACAAATTCCGGATTTCCGCTTTGCGTTTAGTCAAGCTCGATAAATGATCACTTAGCCATCCATGAGATATTTATAATTTCGGAATATGCAGGAATGACCAGGAATTCCTGCATTTCCTAGTGATTCCGGATGCGCACGCATTCCGGAATTCCGCTTTGCGTTTATTGAAGCTCGATAAATGATCACTTAGCCATGCATGATATATTTGTAATTCCGGAATATGCAGGAACGACCAGGAATTCCTGGATTTCCGGGTGATTGAGGATGTGCACGAATTCCGGAATTCCGCTTTGCGTTTATTCAAGCTCGATAAAGGATCATTTAGCCATCCATGAGATATTTGTAATTCCGGAATATGCAGGAATGTCCAGGAACTCCTGCATGTCCCCGTGATTCCGGATGTGCACGAATTCCGGAATTCCGCTTTGCGTTTATTCAAGCTCGATAAATGATCACTTAGCCATCGATGGGATATTTGTAATTTCGGAATATGCAGAGATGACCAGGAATTCCTGCATTTCCCAGTGATTGAGGATGTGCACGAATTCCGGATTCCCGCTTTGCATTTCTTCAAGCTCGATAAATGATCACTTAGCCATGCACGAGATATTTGTAATTCCGGAATATGCAGGAATGACCAGGAATTCCTGCATTTCCCAGTGATTCTGGATATGCACAAATTCCGGAATTCGGCTTTGATATCGAATAGATGTTTTAAGATTATGATTTGGTTATTGAATATATCCTTCGAATTGTGGAAGTACCCGGAATGACCCGGAATTGAATGTTCAGAGTTGGATTTGAAAGGAGCTAATAATCAGGAATTCCTGGTTGTGGCATGTATTTGAGGGAAAGGGTCGTTTTGGGATATCCGGAATTGATGGTAAGGGTTTTCGAGTCAGAAGGCGATGCAGGAATGTGTAACTTTTGGGAATAGGAAGTATTCTCCAACTAGTTCTATTTGACCGAAGTCTCTTGATGATATATAGTCGGAGTGAAGGTGTGAATAATGCATGGAGTAGATGTTAGTGTGAGTACTCTGATCTATTTAGCAAGAGTCACAGCCACATCAACACCTATAGTCATCCGAACCTCACACACACTCTAACTCAAGCTAACCCATTATTTGATATACGTGATTCACGGTTTTTTTTCGTCATGTGCTTCTATCGCTGATAGTGTGTATTTGTGCTGCCGTAAGTTACTAGGAAAAAAAGAAAGAAAAAGGTAAAAAAACAACCAAATACTGGCAAAAGGTGCGTCAAGCAAAAGGCAGACGGCGACAACTACTCTTTTTCAAGAAGAAAAGAGTAACCAACAGAAGCGAAAACGCTCTGCTGGTAATTTTTCCATTCGGTTTTGCTTACTGATTGTGGTAAGTAATACATCACAATAATAAAACAAAAAACATGTATTCGGTTTATCATACATAAAAGGGTAAACGACTCTTCAAAATGAGTAATATGAGATAAGTAAAACTTGTTGATATGGGTAGCATCCATTTCGAGACGATTATACAACATATATTTCTTCTTCCTGATCGCAAATAATGCATTTTCACCATTATTCAGAGAATCTTTCTCCGTTTTCTTTTCAGCATTTACAATACTGATTGCAAATAGTCATTATTGATTGTTTACATTGGTAAGAGGAACGTGCATAGTCTTCAGTGAATAGTCATCAACAGAAGTCATTGAATTGACTGCGTCGATCAAATCCATGTTGTCGAGAAATTTAAACTGACTGGGTATTTTTTTTCAGCAGATGAAAGCGTTGCGATAAAGTTCTATTTCAGAGTAGTGAAATACCGAAAAACTTTTTCCTTGAAGTGCTAAAGTATTACATAGAGGACATATGGGACCATTACCTCCACCGTAATCTGGCGATTCAACATAACATTCACTTCATGTTCAAATCCCACTCATACAGTAAAATTTCACATCAATCCCGACTCATCCGACATATACGCGCATACTCTCACCCGACAACCTCTGTATTAAAATATTCTATGGTTTTAAGTAAACTATTTTATAATGCGTATGACTCAAAGCGTAATTCATAAGAGCACACCCAGACGAGACCTTTCTGATTCTCTAACATCGAAAATGATGTTGCTGTTAGAAATAGCGCGAAACATGAATTGCATTTTAAACGTTGAAGTAATGAAGAAGCCTTGTTCAAATCATTTGAACAGTACGACTCATTAGTATTGACATCAAATAATGCCTCCATGTAAGAATTTTAAAACTCATCAACTCGTATAGGTTAAAGTTTCAAATATGGTCAATGAATACATGTTACTAGGGGTAGATCAATATTTCTGTTCCTATCGGTTTCATAGACTACAACTCGTTCTTAAAACTACAAAAAAAGATTAGATACGATTGATTCACATCCTGCTTTATCTCTTTTGTACTTTAAAGTTCCAGTGAATCAATCATATCTTGATGCCGAATATGGCGCATTTTGGAAAAACATTTTGATTTTTAATTTCTAGAAAAAGAACCACTGTTGAAATGTCTAACGAACAACCTAATAAAAAGTGTGAGTGTGGATGATTTTTCTCACCATATCTTTCTATTCCGCAAGATGTGAGTGTTTTTCTTTCATTAGACAAACCTTGGCTCGACTGCCAGTTTCATAATGCCGATCAAACATCCATTAAGAAACCCGATGAGTTCGGAATCAGTTCGAGCGATTTTGCACCATTGCGAGAAATCAGCACTAATGTAGTAGATCGTATCCAAGGCTCGATGTTTGGTTTGGCCATGGGTGATGCCCTTGGTGCTCATGTGGAATTCAGGCCTCACAGTTATTTGCTGGCTAATCCAGTTAAAGACCTAGTAGGGGGAGGAACATGGGGTCTACAAAAGGGACAGGTAAAAAATCTGATTATAAAAGGTGCATAATAGCTTACTTTCATAGTTTACTGATGATACCTCAATGGCACTTTGTTTGGCTAATTCACTAATTGCTTGTCAAGACTTTGTTCCATATGATCAATTAGTTCGCTACAAATGGTGGTATCGACATGGCTACATGTCATCGACTGGTCAATGTTTCGACATTGGTGCAGCCACCCGACAGTCTATCGAAGAATTTGAAACACGCCAAAGAAAGTTTGCACATGATCATGATATACCATTAGATGAAATGGACTCGCTATCTGATCGTGATCTTCTTCAAGCCTTCGACGTGAAATGTAGTAAAGAGGATGTGGCTGGTAACGGAGCTCTAATGCGTCTCGCACCTGTGCCACTCTTCTTCTACCGAAACCCAGAAGTCGCCATTGACTATTCTGGTATTAGTGGTCGAATCACTCATGGAGATGACAAAGCTTATGATGCCTGTTGTTATTATGGAGCTCTCATCATAGCTGCCCTGAATGGTGCAAAGAAAAGCGAGCTGATTAGTAAAACATTTTATGATGAGCATCGAGAATGGTTTGGCAATCGAACCCTTCATTCTGAAATCATGGCGATTGCTCAGGGATCATACCAAAAACCAGGCGGATATCAAGATGGAATTCGAGGGAAAGGATACATTGTCAATGCTCTCGAGGCCGCTTTGTGGGCGTTTTGGAGTGATGAAGACTCATTCGAAACAGGAGCACTTAAAGCTGTTAATCTGGGTGATGATACAGACACAACAGCAGCTATCTATGGTCAGTTAGCAGGAGCTTACTATGGCTACAAGAAATTGCCAGAAAAATGGCTGGAATGCATGTATGCCAAAGATTTCATTTTATGTGTAAGTAGTTGGATTTCATACGAGGGAGAAGCATGGTTTAAAAATCAGATGATTCCGGATACAAGCGTACTAATTAATACCGGTAATAACATTCTGTTGAGTTTGAAACAGAGTGTCGGTATCCTTCCGACTCAACATTGTCCTCTAAGCCTTAAAGCATCATTGCGTCGAAGCATAACATCGGACAGTGTTGTGCGCAAAGCAATCGATCCGGACGGTCGTATAGGACATTTGTATGATGCATGGCGAGATCGTATTCTAGCATCAGCGAATATCAATTTGGATATTAAGGAGAGTTACTTGTGTCCACCAATAAAATGTGAAATAAAAAGTGGTGAGAAGCTTGAGAATCGAAATGTTCTTCGAGTCATTGATTTTCCTGCGGACCTGCGATTGAGTGTGTTATCAAACTTGGTATCATCGACCGGTATTGATTCAATTGTTGATTATCCTTTTGTAATCGATGAATGCACTCGCATCTTCTATTATTCATACCTAGTACGAAGTCAAGCATTCTTTGACGAGAAAAGTATTCTGAAAGATGCGTGTAAGACTCCAGCCACTCACGTCATCACCGCAATAGACAAGGGAATCGATGTTGTGGTTTTATTGAGATTACCACTTGAGGATTCGAAAACCATTGATGAAAGCCTCGATCAAATATGTCAATGCATGAAAGGCGACAAGGAACTAAGTGTTAATCAAAATGTGCTGAATCGAGTTCTTTCCACACATGTCTATTCGAATACGTCCAATTTGTCTAACCAGTCCACATTATTTCATGTATGTCAAGAAATTCTCAAAATCAAAAAGAACCCTGCTGATCAATTACCTTGCAACTATATTCTTCATCCCATCAATACCTTTTATGCTGATCAAAATGAACAGAATACCAAATTTATTCCAATCGAACCAAGAATCGCAACAATAGTTGAAGAGCATTGGCTTCGATTAGTCTCTATCCAAACAATATGGAAAACCTTTGAAAACAATATAAAGTTGGATGTTTTCAAAACTGAGCTGAAGGAAGAATTTGATGCTGTGCACAGTAAAGTGATGGAACTTGTAGAGCAATATAAAAAGGAAAAGAAACAAAGCCAAGATTTGATTCTGAGTATTCGTCAAGGTAAAAAGGAGCAAGAGGCTATCATACGTCACTTACAAATCGAGGAAGCAGAGACGAAGTTGAAGCATACAATCGAAGATTTGAAGCATGGTCTGAGAGTTTTGGAGGAGAAACAGGATTTGATCAATGATTTGAAAAGGAAAGAATTTGATTATTTGAATGCCGCTAGATATGATATCAAACAAGGCGACAGTGAGGATGACATTGTACGAAAGGTAAATAAAGATAAGCGGTGGCAATGTATCCTGTGCTCCAACGACTGTTTAAATGCAATGGGTTGGTCACAATTGGAAGACATGGTTACACGACTAGCTAATGACCGTAGAGAACATCGTGACTTAAGTCTAGTCTATCTCGATTTCTCCTACTGTACATACGAGCTGAATATGATGAAAACGTTTCCATCAATGAACTGTGGTTCTAGTACTAATGTGCGCAGTTTTTTGATACCAACAACAAAAAAATCCTATTCGCAACCAGCTATGCCTTGTAACAATCAGATGATCAATATTATTCTCGTTGGTAAATCAAGAGTCGGGAAATCCACCTTAATTAACGCCATCGCCAATTGTCTAAAATTCAAAAAGTTCGAAGACACTCAAGCGAATAAATCTGTCGTGCGTATATTTGTTTCATGTTTTCTTCCGCGAAAAACTGATGAGGAGCAGCATTTCATTCAACTCGGAAAAAACGACCCCAATGAAGATGATAATCATCCCGGTCAGTCTATAACTCAACGTTGCAAATCACACAAATTCGACGTAGAAAATGGGTCAACGTTATGTATCATTGATACTCCTGGCTTTTCTGATGCACGTGGTCAAGCTTACGATGAGAAAACCATGCAGCACATATTATCATATATCTCAAATTTAACGCATTTGAATGCCATATGTGTTCTAATAGAGTCAGGCGACTTGGAACTCGCTAATTATCAACAGAGCTTGTTACCGTTGCTCCATTTCATTGGAGAAGGAGCACATGAAAATTTAGTTTTTTGTTTTACAAAGTGCCTTTCCATTTCGATGGACAATAATCAAAGAAATAATCAAGTTCAAAAACTGTTCCAATTACTTTCTCTTGGTAGTATCCCTGTGAAACCTAAGAACATATTTTACTTCGATAGTACCTTCTTTCTTCATTTTGCTACAGCACGTGGTTCCGATCGTCGAGAGAAGAATTGTGAAAAGAGCTGGCAGATATCGAAACAAGGAGTAGATCTACTTCTGCAGTATGTTCATCAAATCAATCGTCCATACTTGTTACATCAAGGACTACAACAAACAGGATATTATGCGCGACTCGAAATCTTGCAGATGGTGCGTCCGGTTACTGAAGCAATGCGAAACGTTCTTCGAAATAAAATTGTATACAAAGCAGGACCTCCCTATAAATGGATCGAGCTACATCCGAAACCTATTCAACGACCTTCTGCTATATGTTACTTGTGCCCGCGTTCAATTCATCTGTATGGCAGCTTTTGGATTGCGTGTGATTCTTTGCATGAATATCGAAAGCAATGTGAACAGTGTTCATGTGATCTAAACCGACACGTTCAGGTTGATTATAAACTGGATTACGAGTTAGTCGATAAAGTGAACTATCAACAGGATGACTTGCTGGCTTGGGACAACGAAATCTTTTCTGCAAGCATGTGCTTTGCTCATTTCCTCATGAAGATTGATCCCCATTCTACTGATGATCCATTCTTGGCTAGTCTTAATCAAATGATTCACGAAGAGAGTTGTATTTGCGACAGTAAGCCTTATCACCAGTTTAATTTACAATTGCATAACGAACTTCTGAAATTTAAAGATGACTATGAACGAAACATGAGAGATATAACACAGAGATGTGAATATAACGATTTGGCGATGATTAACAATTGGATCGAACGTATCAAAGATATTCCCATGATACGACAACAAATGAATGCTTTGGGAGGAATACAAGAAACTTCTCTTTAGATCAGTAGATAATAGAAGCTACTGATATAACACATTGAGTTATTGACAATGCTCAACTAAGACTTTTAAACTTATCATACTAAATTTATTCTTTGTATTCTGCATTAATAAACATGATTATATACCTAGACTGCATTGTACTACACCGTCTTACTTAATAATGTGAAAGCAATCAGAAAATAAAAATAAAACGAACTTTTCGCGTGATTAATTGAAAGAATACTTCTGTCTGTCTATCGATTGAAATCGGTAAATTCTTGATTTTAAGTCTTATCTTGGGCAAATTATGTCTATCTGGTAAACCGATTGGAAGAAGCAAAATAAAACTGAGATCCTTCAGACAAAAAAAGGTCACGTAACAAGACGTATGATGCCAAAACAATAAAAGAGAGAAAGATGTACCGATGTGTTTCTGAAGAATTAGAGCTTTTCAAGTCTTTTAGTAGAGAGAGCAAAATCGTGATCTTATGATTCATCTTGAGAAAAAGATCTCAGGCGACTGATAATGCATAGACTACTATGTCATATTCGGGTCTTTTTAAATGGAAATCTGAGAAAAGGGTGTGGGCATTGGTCTTCTCTTTCACTACAACCTATTTCCACTTTCACTTCATCCCATAGTTTTGGAACGAAACCTCTTCATATTTGCTTACGGTATTGCTACTTTTTCGTCAAAAACCCAAGAAGTTTATTTGAATAGTTATATTATCGTTTCGTGTTTCGCCTGAAAAATGTATACAATCAAATTGTAATGAACAATACCGACGGTGTTCTGAAACACGAAAAAGTGTGTCCGTGGGTGTTGGTGTTCATCTCTTTTGTATTTGCATAAGCGTTCACGCAGACCCACGTCCTTGTTCAACGAACTTGCGATGTCATATCACTTAGAAATTAGTAAATGCGGTCAAGATGAGCGAATAGCACTACAAATTGAGTGTATTCTACTCGACTTGATCCTTCATAAAGATAGATATTCAAGTAGTGCTTGTTTTATTTGAAATTATCTCGGAATAAAATTCACAACGATGGATAAAATGAGCACACATATATGTCTCGTAAGTGATGCTGAACTTACTGTTCAATTTCGAATGCATTGAGTGTTTGCAGTGAGAGCAGTTGGACACGGTACTGCACGAAAAGTCATTGTTGGGTTATCGGCATTCATGAACCAATCGAAACGCCAATAGCAACCCACTTGAATTACAGCTGGTAGTTTGGCACAATCTGACCGCTGATTAACACCGCCATATTGTGCACCCCAACTATAATTGCCGGGAAACTGCCTTATACATCCGTTGAAAATACCTACTCCTCCACCTGGCATTTGAAGATCAAAATGATTGTTTCCAAGATCACCGCCAGTATTTGTTACTTGAACGACGAGTTGCTTACCAATCACGGAACCTGATGTGAAATGCAGTGCATAGCAAGCACAACACCATGTAGCCTCCGACTGGCCCTAAAAGAATCTCTTTTCAGATATGTCTGTTAAATAAAAGTGACTTCACTAACAGCTATATTAGCAGCAGCATAACCGTAGGCTAGCGTGGTATTGACACTCCATGGCTGTTGATTATTACACATATAAGCGTTACCACCGTCGCAACCCGATTGTGCATTAGAATCGACGGCAGTAACACCATCTGAAGAACATGTTTTCACGGGATTCGTAACTTGGGCTTTGCCTGGCCAGGCACAACTTGCTTTGCAACAATCCCAATAGCGAGTCGTTACGCCTGTTGTACCGGTATTGACAGACGACATCGTGCTCGAACGAATAGTACTGCTTGTAGAAATGGACGATGAAGACGAACCTGCTGTCGGTAAACATTGTGAGTAATACTCATTGTTAAAAGTACAACTTGATCCTGCACAACATGTAGTCGGTCCTGTCCATCCTATTCCACTACATTGACTGTACGTCGTGCCACAGCTTAGTTCTATCAAACAGGAATATTCGTAAAGACCGAATATATAAAGCAAACATATGATATGAGCTTCTCAGGCTCACTTACTTACGAGTGGTTCTGTTAGCATTAGTACTCGTTGAACCAACGGTAATACTACGAGTACTAGTAGATACAATAGAGGACGACGACATGTTCACTCGATTAGTGGTCGAATTCATCGACAACGTAGTACTGCTAGAACTGATTATGACTAGCAGACATTGCGAATAGTAGGGATTATTGAAAGTACATATTGATCCTGCACAACACGTAGTCGGGCCTGTCCATCCAATTCCACCACATTGACTGTATATAGTACCACAGCCTAATTATATCAAACAGCAATATTAGTAATAAGGATGTAGGTGTACATAGATTGATTTTCTATTCAGTCATATCTGCATCCATCTATGACATAGCTTGCCAATTACTGAGATCTTGAGGGCATGAGTTGGCATTTAGGCACAAAGAACTATGTAAAGAGGTCTTAGATTTTTTGCTTAAAAATATCACCTCTAGCTTGCCTTGGAGTATTGAAACAATCAAAACACTTTTCGTCAGATATTAAAAGACGCGTGGCAGCAGAAATGATTTCTGCTAGATGATCATAAATTATGATGCTAGTTGTTTTTCTGTTATCCAAAACTTTACCAAGATAGGAGAGGGAACTGCATCATACTGCTTAGCAACTGTTTTGCTTATCATTTCTGTTGTTGGAATTGAATAGTCAAAGCACAACGTGCGTATAATCGTTGAGGTCAATCAGCGTCTGAAATGGAATTTCTTGTCAAGAATAACTTCCTCACTTCAATCATATGGTAGTAATTTTTATTCTCGCTTGATTAATTTGGCCAACCCTCTCATATTCAATGGATTTTCGAAACAAAACGCATGCCTTCAATAATGTTCGCAAGTTCTCTGCTGGATTAGTATCCTGGCTCAACAGCGACCATGACGAGGTCATTAAATAATACAGCAGCTTCAACATTATCCAAAAATTAGAATACGTTTCGGATAGTCACCTTCGAGAAGAAGCCATTGACGACTGAGCACAAAATAAGCTCGAGATAAGAGTATCAGACTATGCATGTGAAGTACGGTTGCAAAGGAAAGTGTTGTTCAGACTTGTACTAAAAAATACATGATTCCACCGAATTTATTAGTCGAGAGAAAGCTCCATATTTTAACCCTCATGAGAGATTTCACTGTTCTTTCAATTACATGTCAACGAAAATCACCTATGCTGTCGTGCGTCGTATAGCGTGTTACGGAAAATGCTTTGGTTATTTCCCCATTCTAAGACAAGTTAGAGACAATTTTCTAAGCAAAAACAAAGATCCCTTTACATAGTTCTTTGTGCCTAAATGCCAACTCATGCCTTCACGATCCCAGTAATTGGCATGATATGCGGTAAATAACTCATACCATAGCTCTATATTTTTCCATACAGAACTAAAGTTCTGAAGATAAGCTTTGAGAACAAACTCATATTTCTATGATGACTTTCTGACCAGGTTTTCAAGTAAATTGATCGGAACTATCCTGATTTGGATGTATCTGACTGGCTTCAATATGTCTCAGTGAATATAGGTTAAGTTGGTGCTTGTGATGAGGATTCATCTTAGTCTACATACATCCAAAATATGATCCTAATATATCATGACAAATAGTACTATTTTCAGGGGACGGCCTTTTTTGGTCCAAGACTGTAGAATGTTAAGTAAGGTTTTAAGGGATCAAGTATAGTTATCAGTGGTTCAATATCGGGATCATGGATTTAGTACAAGAATAAGGCTTCAGGTATAAAAATTACGTGTTAGATACTGGGATAGGGTATCAGACATACTCCAAAGGAGTTGACTATTGATATTGGAGATTAAGCATAGAGTTTAGAGATAAAGTACAGGTATTAGGATTTAGATATAGGAAAAAGAGCTGTGGCACAAGGAGAAGGGGGTGTCTATATGCGTAAGGGTTTAAATGTAAAAGTGATTGATTTGACATAGGAATAAGCGGCTAGTCATAGGAACAATTATTCAGGTACAGCAATTATGCACTACATATACGAGTGAGTGGGGAGGCATACTTATAATGGGTTAAGTATAGCAATAACGGATTCAGTATAATAAGTAGAGAATAGGTTAAGAAATAAAAGTATATGAATACATTGATATTGATACTGGAACCATTATAGAACCCTGAGTACAAAACCTGTATTATAGCTGCCCATAAAAAGTTTGATACTGAGCCTTTTTTATACGAAATCAGAACAACCTTCCGAATTTGTGTCTCCAGGAAGAAACTTTTTAGGTCTCGTAAAAAAAACGTTGTTTTACATTGTACTTTACTTGCATTTTAGGATCGGAGCTTACCAGACTCATCAACTATTGAGTGGTCCCTTTAGCACTGGTACTTGCTGAACCGACAACAGTACTACGAGTGCTAATAGACGCCCATGCGATGAAAACCGGGCAAAAACCGACGGTTAACCTCTAAAACTGATCCGTCTTTTGTGACATGGGTACAGTGGATGATGAAGACATGCTAACTGGAGTGGTGGTCGGATTTATAGCAATTGTACTATTACCCGAACTGTTCGTAACTGGCAGACATTGTGAATAGTATGCATTGTTCAGAATACAACTTGATCCTGAGCAACATGTAGTCGGACCGATCCATCCGATTCCACCACATTGGCCATATTGGCTACTGCAGCTTCCAACTATGAGCAACCCATCAAGTAAATAAGTAAAAAATCGTCGAATAAACAAGTTACATACCAGTGGAAGCTCGAACACTACTTGTTGTTAATGGCGAAGTTACTATCGACGTTGCTGTGATCGTTCTAGTCGATGTACCTATTGATGCTGCCGTAGTCGTTCGAGTTGACGTTGCTGTTGATGTCATCGTAGTTGTTCGCGTTGACGTTGCTGTGATCGTCTTAATCGATGTTCTCGTTGATGTTGCTGTAGTCGCTCGAGTTGATGTTACCGTTAATGTTTTCGTAGTCGTTCGAGTCGATGTTGCCGTTGATGTTTTCGTA